AGAATACGAAAAAACTGTACAATTTTACAGTAAAGACGAAGTTACTGTACTGATACGGGCCGCATAATACTATGGGTGCCACTGGTGTCGCTGCATCTTTGTTGACAAGCGAAGAGAATGACGAAGTGATAGCTGGGAAAGGAGTAACAGCAATTTCCCCACCATGGCTTTGTCAAGCTCAGGCTGGGGTGCCGCTGTGCGTCTGGGTTGTTCGAGTTCCCGTGGCATCCTAATCGACCTGTCAGAGTGAATTTGGATGAGTTTGGGGTTCGGGGGTAAAAGCTAGAGGTGCAGGGAGATATGTCGGGGTTCTGCTAGTCGATTCGGCATACGGGCAATCGCAAATCTTTGATCATCTTGCGTTTCATGCGTTCGCGGTACTACAGTCCTGAATTTCCAGTCCCGGAAGTAGGAGGCGGACTTTTTCAAGTGGCATTCCATACGTCTCATCCGGGTTATACCGGAGTCCTGCCACAGACATGGCTCAGGTGGGAAAAACAAGAGCATTTTGCCCTTACCGGGGGTGAGGCAAGCCGTCTCCGCCCCTGGCCGCCGTCCTAATGGACCGCCGCTTGCCTGCTGGGTCGGCGCTACGAAAAGACCTCAACCTTCACCTTTCAAATAAGGGGGGTAGGAAGGAAACACAAACAGGGTGGATTTCACAAGGGTTTTGGGCTTAAGTTCAAGGAGCTGCCAATAAGATTATACAGTCTTTTAGTATTTTTATTTTGGTGTTCACGTTGTTCACACTTGATTATATTATAGGCGCGAGCAAAAAGAATCTTAAATTGGCTCGCGGTTTCGTTCGCATTCAATTCACTTCGTGCGGCGCATATAAAGATAGTAGTAAATGAAAATTGGAAGGGGGAAAAGCATCGGACCAGACAGAATCGATCACGAAGCTTTGCGCAGCACGCTGCAAAGTCCTAGATGGGTCGATGCCATGCTCTGGTCGCTGAACCCATGTGAGTGGCGAGACCTCAGATCTGGGGATGCATTGGATGTTGGACATTCCGCACAGAAAAGGGACACTCCTGATTCCAGGGTCTGCGTATATCCTGGACGTCCTTTGAAGCCTTTGGGCAGACTACAAGATGCCAAAAATTCCGGAATCCCATTTTAACGATGGGTAAATCACCATGGACTATGCCTGAGTTATCTCTGGAGAAACAAGCACAGCAAAGTTCGCTTCCCTTCGTTAATGTGAAGGGGCCTGCACTGCGGAATGCCTCCTCCTCAGACACTGCCAGACAGAAGGGGACACATGACCATAGTTCAGCAGAACTGGTTCCCAACGCATTGTAGAATGCAGAGGTTGGATGCACCCTAACATAGGTAGTCTTGCCAGACATGCAGACAGTCTTTCCCACTGAAACTGTCGTTCCAGCCCTTGAAGGGTCCAGAGCTGCCGAAGAGAATTTCCTCAATGCCTAGCATAGAACTAGTGGATTTGATCAACCTATTGAAAGAGGCCATTCGAATCCAAACAAAATCAGATTTATCTGGGGACACTGTTTGCAGGCATCAGCTTCGTTCGCATTCGTATCCCTTTGCGTGATTCTCGTTTAGGACATTTTTTGTCATCACCCTCAACGAGGTGTGCTTTGCAACCCAATCACAAAAAAATGTGAGTCCTAAGCTTGCACGGGCCATTTGCAAAGTATGTTAAAAACAAGGGTGGCGGGGGGAGAGGGGGGGGGGCAGCCCCTCCCATTTACAAACACATGATGGGCATGAGATTCGTAGGTTAACAAAAAGCGGGGGGCTTGACCCCCATTTTTGCAAACACATGATGGGCATGACCGGTTTATGAAGGATTTGTATGTTCAAAGACCACAGGACCAGGCTTGCCAGAAAAGGGAAGAAAGACCGAAATACACAAATGGGCTTCTGAACCATGATCTTCGTGTTGATCCTCAAAAAGCCAGGCACTCCTGGTCATCAGCAGTGATCTTTATGCGTCAGCTGTGTGCTTGCTGAAGAAGCAGCTGGGACTTAGCGGCTTGGCCTAAGTCAAGGGTTTTACGAAGCATCCGCTATTGCGCTAAGAGGGTTCTATGGGGGATGTGCTGAAGCCATGGATTGAAGCCTGCCAGTGTCAGTTAATTGCGCCTTTCTTAATTCTTTAAACGAAGTGGCCCGGTAAGACTTGAAGCAGGCAGCACTTTTTATTTGCACGGCGTCTCACGCAGAACTGAAATCGAGGTCATTCACCGAACGCGGCATGAATCATCATTCATGCGACTCTGGCATCAACTGGGCATTGGATGCCCATGCGTCTAAAGCAAGCCTCTTGCAATCAGATGGCCCCAATGCGGCGTGCCGGTTGCAATACCAATCCGTCCATGGCCATCAGACTTCTGAACAGACACACACAGACAAAACAAAAGTCGTACATGTAAATGCACTGCACGAAGAATGGGTGTGGGGCCGTGAAGGCGTACTGTACGGATGGAGGGTTCAAGGTGCACGTTGCATGGCAGGAGGCATGTCATGCTCTGCGGTGGCAGAAGCTAAAATTTGCGTAAGTATGCTGCATATTTTTTGAACCTTTGAAGAGTAGAGCTGAGACATCAGCATAGGGGCCTAGGGCCTACAGCTGACTCTCAGGCACTTGTGCTTGGCACATTTCTTGTGCCTGCAGATGGCCGAGAGTTCCTGTGCGCAGCCCGAGGTACAGCTCCCAGGAGACTCAGATGTAAGGACGGCAGCACAGCCTACAAACACATTTTCTAGAACATACCAACGCAAAATGACATCAGCGTTCACTTCTGCGTGGGTGCTCAACATGATGTCAAACGCTTATGCAATATCGACTGACCCTCGGGCTGAGGACAGGATACATCAGGACACCTACTAAGTTACTACTTTTGGAGCTCACGTTCGCCTAACTCAGGGTTAGATCGGCGAAGCGGCCAGCAAGGTCTGGATCAGCACCTGAGTCTTGAGAATTGAAAGGTCAGGCATTCAAACTCGATTCCGGGCTTCCCCCGAATATGCTGCGATGCTGTATGTCGAAGCTGACTGCTTTGCTTGTCTGCTCTACATAGCGCTGTTAGGAACAGCCCTGGGCACCGCATGCACTGGCAACGCAGCACTGCTTCACACCCACACCCCACGGCCTTTCAACGGGTTTGGCCTTTCAACGGGTTTGCTGTGAGCAATCAGCACATCATTGACTTCGCTTGTTCGTTGCTCTGGTCGATTGTTTAGGTAATAGATAAAAATCGAAAAGCAATGAGCCACGTTTGACTTAAAAAGGCTGACCGATGAGACTTTCCATGCTCTGAGCCTCGGTGATCTTTAGTTAATCCCTGAAGCCGATGAGGCTCACTGGCTCAAGAAAGGACATTCTGCCGGCACCGTCTTTGGAATTTTTTCGCGTGGTTGTTTCCATGCGTCCCCTAGGCATGTTAGACCTGGCTGGTGACATTTGTCCGGGTGGTGATCTGGTAAACATGCCTCGACCAGCCCGGTCTTGCCACCCGTACAAAAGGTTAATGCGGTCAGGATTGCGCAAGGCTATGTCGAACGCATACCTTGTGAACTGCTGAGTGTTGGCGATGTTCCGGCACTGTGCACCCAACTGCCAGCCAGGTACCAAAACCTTTACCTGGCTCGACGATCTAGCCGCTTGTCTGGGTGTTTAGCTGTAGGCTTGCCATTCCTTTGGCCTTCGACCTGGCAAAGAAAGGTACCCCTTTTCAGCTTGGTACGACGAAACCCAAACGCTGTTTGATCATTCGTTGTCTTGTTTTCGCGTAGCTTGCTGCGTCGTCCTTTTTAAATGAACGTCCGTTGAGTCCACGCACCGTACAAGTTGTCAATCGAGCACCATTCGGGGTTGGGGTGTGTGTGTGTGTGTGCGCGCTTCCAGACTGGGGGGCTGTTGGCTCCTCGAAGTAAGTATTTCATTTCAATAAATTTACTGCACATGTGAAACAGAATGCCAGATGCTTGCCCGACGGTCAAGACTCAAACGCACGGAGCGAGTCAGCTCAGTTGACCGCTCACGAAGTAAAGTCCACAGGCCCCAATCCGCAGAACAGTGCATCAGGGCTAGGGTGGGTAGGCGATTGGGTTAGTATAACTGTCAATGCTTATGAACTCAACGAGCCAGAAATCCCAAACAGCCGTCAAGCTGCTTTCTTTCATCTTTCGCAGGTACGCCACTGTGTTGCCAAGATGTGCCTTTCAGGAGAGAGTTGCTGCTTGCAGGACCCGACGCAAAGAACCAACTTACAGCACTGCTTCTGCTTCTGTTTCCTTGAAAATGCTCTACTCACTTCACACTGTGATTTTTTGCAAGCTCCAGTGAGTTATCGTAAACAGGGGTCTCACAAAAGTTCCCTCCAATGTGTTGATCCTGCAGGCTCAGTTTTGACTGAAACCACCAGAATCGCAGTCAGCAATTTCCAGGCATGAAGCCTAAACATCCCGGAAGCTGCCGAAAAACCAAGCTGTGAAGATGAATTCATGCAAGCCTTGGCTTTTCTGGCCTCTGGCTCTGCCTGCGCGTCCTGTTGGGTTGCCGGGTTTCAGGCTTCGGATGGTGCCAGTTCCGGGAGGGGGAGTTGTCTGCGATGCTGCCAGACTCAGAGGCACAAACGAGACATGTTTACAGAAGCGTGACGGAGTGCCAATAGACTTTAACAAAGGCCTTCGTGCACTGCACAAGGTATGCAACAATGGAGGTGCGAAACACAATGAGTGTGAGACATGAAACAAGTGTGTTTCGCCTCTCATTACACACGAGCAACAGAGCGAACACACCCGCATCAACTTTCCGCATGCAACCCCCCTCCTTCTGGACCCCGTGCATCTTAGTGTCGGAAATTCAGACATGCCAAATACCCACCAGGCACATCGGGTACCACTAGTGGACAAGGCAACTCACGAGCCTCAGCCCTCGAACCTCAAAGTCCATCACGTAACTACACACGCCTTCTGCTCTGATTTTTGCCTGCCAACTTTCCACGACTCTTCACGAGCACTTCATCCTTGAGAGCGAAGTCGATGTGCTCCACACAGATCTGCATCAAACTCTGCAGAAATGTGATGCCCACCTGCCAATCGGGATTGGGATAGCCAAGACAACTTGGAAGAGTTGTTTGGTATGCAGATTTCAGCGGGAACATGGCGAGCCGGTTTCCGAGGAACGGATTTGCATCCTCATGGATTTTCCGGCATCTTTAACTGCCCCTACATCTGGTGGAGTTTAACTAGTATCCTGAAGTTTGGTACAAGTAGTGATGTTCCGGAAGCCCTGAACCTCAACCCTTCTCGAAACCACAATAGTCAGAACCTCAACCCTTCTCGAAACCGCAATAGTCAGACTCTAAGGATTCCGAGCTCAACCTCTCAACTCTTCCAGTGTCGGTGGGATGCCTCTTCGCACTGCACTTCGTAGTAATAGATATACCTGTCAAACATCTCCACCCACAGCCCAACCTGGCCGGATGCAGATGGGGTTAGGCCCCTTGAACATTAAAGTGTTTGGAGAGCTGCTGCAGCCTTTCAGGGGTCTTCGAGTTGGATCAGTGTCTCGAGTTGATTCTGCGAGTCTGGGGTTGCCAAGGCTAGTTGCTGTTTGGCCAGTGCTACCCTGTCTTGAGCCTTCATATATAGGGCCCAGCTGCACGTAAATGAGTCCCCACTGAAACAATTCTTGAGAAGAGTTTGTCTTCATAAGAAAGCGGCATGACTTCAATCAGCACGGTCTCATTCAATTAAATTACCAGGCTTGATCTCTGTTCTCTCGGCAAGAGCGCTGCAATCCAAAGCATGAGAGCCCGAAATCCAAAGTCAACCCCCCCAGCAAACCTTAGCTCAATACCCTTCAGCCATGTTGTCTTAAGCTCAATCTCACCTGCGCGGAGTCCGACTGCACAACGGCCTCACACGTCTTCACGCACCTTTCAGATTGGATCCAGGCTGCGTGAGCTTTAGACGTGTCCGGTGTTTGAGTGTTTCGCAGTTTGGCTTTTGCAGGACCTGGTCCAAGTAGAACGCAGTCACTGGCATGCAAGCTTTTCTTGCGGGCGAAACAACCCCAGCACATCTACAGAAGTCAACAACCACAAATCTGGAACATCCTGGAAACCAGGGCGACGGCTACAAAGCAGTATGGCTCAGAAACCAGACCGCTGGCTGAGACCACGTGCAGATTGAAATAGCTAGCGACACTTTCAGCAGGCCTTGCGGATGCAATGCTCGGAAAGCAAAACTAAAGGCGTTTAACTATTCATGGCTGCTCAACTTTATGCAGGTCTGTTGGTAAGTTAGTGTCGTTTAATTGTGAGGTTGCTGTTCCTGTTGCCCCGATTTTCTTTCAAGCATCTCGGATCCTGAATTCCTGAAGGACCCCGCACTTACTTTCTGTATGAAATATCCCTCGCTTTATGAATACCGCTGATGCACAATACATAACCCAACAAATGGGAAGCATTCTTCAAATTTAGAGGCAACATCCGCTAGCACACGGAATGTGCGCAGATGCAGGAATCAAGAAGCTCGGAAACAAAACCCACTGCAGCAAGATCCCTCCAAGTCGAAGATGTGCTTTCTGCCCTCGGCTGACAATGGCAGCTTTCAGGTTGTTTTGAGCAGACTTTGATGCGTTAGCGCATCGTTGCACACCCAATGCTCTTGGAAGCATATCCCAAGCAAAGCTCTCGCGGCCAAAAGCAGTGAGCGGCACAAGGACAAGGAAAAAAGTGCATCCAACAATTATTGGCTTTCGTTCTCGTCGCAACAGCCAGAGCACGCGGAGACAGGACAAGAGGAGACGAGACGACACCATACCCAACCCACACCAGCCCCAAATCCAGGGCAACAAGGAGAGACAATACCCACCCCAGCAAACAGGTCAGCATCGCCTCGCCACAGTCACCACTGGCTCGGCCAACCGAGGGCCAGCGCTACAAGATTCAAAACCGAATCAACCTTCAAAGCCAAAACTCAACCCCGACACTTGAACCACCCGGCACTGCAAACAGCATCCTTGCCTCTCCAAGCATTCTCGCACTCTCTTTGCATCTCGTCTGGCATCGCCTTGGCTGCTGAGGGCTTCTCCACTTACGCTGACACCCATTCTGTTCGGGGCCGAGAACCCTCGTTTGGAATTGAGGATTTTTGCAGTCGCTCTCTGGCCTTGCCCATGCTTGCTTGGTTCACAAACATCTCCGACCCCTACGCGTGAACAGCACCTTGCCAGGAGTCAGAGCCTGTGAGGATTGGCATGCCCTTGGACGTCGACGCGAAGCCCTCCGACCCAAATCCCCGCAAGTACCATCCCATGCAACAAAACTGGACACACTCTGGCATTTACTGCACCAAATGGTTTGGGGCACATCCTGAACATGTCTACCCTCGGGGTCGACCCTTGTGGCTCGGCATTTTGTTGCAGGTTTTGAGTTACCACATACAATGTCATCGCAACATATATTATCTCGAATGGATGGAGCCGGAAGGATAATCCTCAACCCTCAACTGCTGGCCATCTGAGTCACACCAGAAGAGCTGAGAGCAAGCGGCAACGGCCCTGCACTGCATTGGCCTAAGGCTCCAGAATCCGGTCTTCTGCGTTCTGGGTTCAGTGTGTTCTGCGGTTGCGGACTGTCGCCCAGCAAGAAAGCAATAGAACACCAACCGCGAAAAGAGCCCTGAAACCCGATCTCACTCGGGGGCGCCACTTCTTCAGCAATTTCGCGGCGTGCCTCTCGAGCTCTGGGGCTTCGTCTGTTCAGGGTATTAGGATGAAAGCTGTGAACTCAAATCGGTGGAGGTGGCGGAGGATTAGGACATTTCACCCATGTGGTGGCGTTTTTGGCTTCAAGGGCTGGAAGACTGTGGTTTTTCGAGCGGCTTCTGGAATTGTAGCGTTGAAGCTCCATGTGGGATGTCGCCTTGGGTTGCGAGCCTGGGCCGGAGACATCTTGTACCTAGAGCGCCTGCTATGGGTGAGTTGCCACGATTTCTCAAACAAGTCGGAAAGTGAAAGGAGACCTAGGCAGTGCCTTGGTGGATACCTTCCCCCCAGCCTCCTTCAAAGCTCCCAAGCTCGAAAGAACATTGGCATCTTCACATCGTGCTACTCTGTTACAAACTCGAGAAGCGCCTGGTGATCTTTTGTGAGACATTGTCAAAGTTCTCCGGGTCCAGGGCGGCGATTTTGCAAAGAGTGCCGACCTCATTGTACAGCACGAATACGCCGTTCCATATGCTTGATGATATTTTCGGGACGTTGCGGTCGACATCGTGTCAGGATTCAGGAGGCCGGAAAAGGGTACGAAAGAAATGTGCTTCTCTTTCGTCGTTTGTTTTGCTAAGCCTTAAGACTTGCTTTGGACATGCATCTTTGCCATTGATACGCATCGATTTCAGCATACCTTTGCTTTGGACATGCATCGTTCACAGACTTTGTTTCTGAGATGTATCGATGCAGTGGCCCTTTGCTTTTGAGATGTCTCCTCGACTTACATAAAACGGCTCCTCTCGTCTCTCTGGCCTTCTTCTCGCTGGTATGTTCGCCTTACCTCCGCCTCTTCATAAGAAGGGACAATTCCATTGACAGTCACGGAGAATTGGGGGAAGCAAGATGCCCTGGCTGTCACCATCTCCTCACTCCTCGTCTTCATTGTTTGTTTCTTTCTTTCTTTCATGGCGTGTACCCTTCTTTTCGATGGTAAGGTAGGAACCGGGAAAGAGAAAGGAAGGAAATGGAGTGAGAATATTTTAAGCATTCCAGGACTTATCAGCTTATGAATTTATGTATCTTCATACATGTACATATTTCCTTCAATTTATTTGCTTCTTTATTTATTTCTTTTTGTCGCCAATTCAATGACTGTGTACTTTTCCAGCTCTTCCCTCGGCAGCCACCCCCCAAAATGAGGTTCGCAATACTCATGGGGCGCAAAGGGCAAGAACAAGCAGGTATTCCGTCTACTTGGAATTAAAGCTTGCAGGGCAAAACTGAGGAAATGCGAAGGCAAGATGACTCAGAAGACTTCGCGGGCAAGCTTGGCTTGGTTTGGACCACAGCTAAAACTTGAAATCTCAAACTGCTGAGCCCTAAGAAACCCCATCCCCAAAGTGGTTCTTGGGTGTAAACCAGTCCTGGGGCCAGCTGTGAAAACTCAATGTGGCCCATATATCTGAGCTTTCACGGTTGGTACAGGACGCGTCACGCCCTCGAAACCCAAGTCCATCTAATCTATTCTGCGCTTGCACAAACACTCAGGCAGGGGCTATGTTATGGATGCCTTTGAACTGCTTGGAGCTGTCTGAAATCTCTTCCTCGAACAAGACGAGGGCCTGAAACAAGGAGGCAGAGCCCCTACCGCACCAAAATTGCATGCATTTATCGTTCACATCCGGAACTTTCCTCACTACCACTTTTCTGAGGCTGCAGCAATACAGACAGATGAACAAACTGCTGGGTTAACTGGTGTGGGAACGGCCAGCTGGTGTGGGAACAGGAAAAAGCAGACTCTGAGGCTGTCCACACCGACACAAGGATTTCTGAGAAAAATGCTCACCAGAGAGCAGCATCAGGATGAAACGGAAGCGAAGGCCTCGCCTCGAAGTAAGGACATCAGCCAGTCGTGGCGTTTGGCGTAAGCTCGGTCCGGACATTGTCAGCTACCCAATCACAAAATTGGCAAGCCACATCGGCGGTGGAGACCGGCAGGCGCAGCCCATGCGGCCGCACGCCCAGCGCCTCAGAATCTGGAGCATGAAGCCAAGCCCCAGCAGCTGGCTGCTGCCAGAGCTAAAGCTAGGCTCCACCATCCATGGACCTGCGGCAGTTGGAGCTGGGTGGTGGTGAGGGTCTTACGGAGCTCGACAGATCAACTGAGGCGATGTGCGAGAACCAGTTCGCAACAGAGACGAAGGGACAGCTCAAGTGGCTCCCAGGACCGAGAAGGCACCGGGCATGCTGTCAGGGAAGAGGGAAGGGAAGATTCGGTTGGCTCAAGGTAAGGCAAACACGTCGGGCTGCAGCTGTCCCTCGTGCAGGGCGAAGCGCAAAGAGTAAGGGCCACCCACCCCCTGTCAGCTTAAAGGGCCGAGTCCAGGAAAACTGCCAGGCTCTGCGAAATTGCAAACCTGTCCAAAGTCGGATAAGTCGGGGCAGCATTACGCTTCGCATCCCAAAGGCACTGTGACATCATAAGACCTTAGACTCTTAGAAGTCAGGCACCGGAGTGCTATGGGCTTAAAGCATGCAAAACGGCCCCCATCCATGTAAGGGGCACCTTCCAAGGGCGCCTCGCCCTGGCACAGAGTTGAGCCAGTTAGGTGACTTCATCGCAAGTGGGTAGTGCTCGGTCCCCTCGGAACGCACATCCTTCGCCTCGGCGCAGTGAGCAGAGCAATGGCGGTGAAGGTTTTGTGGATGCAAGCTGGCATCACCTGGCCTGGTGGCAGCCAGGGCCGAGTCGCCCCGAGCCTGAAAGCTCCTCCTTCGCTGCTGAGCCAGCGCCAGCAACAGGCTCTTCCGCCACAGGGTCAAGTGGAAGAACCGCTTTGGGCGGTGACAAGGGCCCGTGCCTGGGCTTTTCCAAAGCACAAAACGAGCGGGCACATGCCGGAGCACTGGCATGCCACAGGCAAGTACATGCGCGCTCCACCAAGGCGGTGAATGCAAGAGTCGATTCTGGGACAGGTCGCCCAAGCCCGCAGCGACTCCCGAAGGTGCCCGACCACAGCTTTGAACGGCTTGCTTCCATAAAACTGCCCCGGTGCCCCGTCTCTATCACGGTCCTACACACCCACAAATTCCAGGATGGCAACAGCAGCAGTAGCAGATGCAGGCATCTTTCTCTCTCAGTTTCTGTGTTTTTGGGATGGTTCTATGTCAGGACATGCCTGCAAGCTACCATAGCCGGAACCCATCCGGGGATGTCGTCTGTTTCTTCCTTGACACGGGCTTTCCCCGGCCCCACCACTGAACTCGGGCATAGCAACGCATGTCGCTTTGTTCGAGGGGGGCGAGTCGTACGAGCTGAGGCAACCCGATGATGTGGGTTTAAGGGAAACTTCTTGTTGCTGGCTCTTAGATAGAAGGTGACTTGTCCTTGCAAAATGTCCTGGGCCACATGGTGGTGCAGGGACCAAGCGGAATCTCAGCGAACCCTAAAGCTGCCAAACCTCAATCCTGCAAACCAAACCCTGCCCCCAAATCATTGCCTGCGTCAGGAACTCGTATGCTATGGGTTCGTAGCCTCCTTGTGCGCCCGTGGCTCTTTCCACCTGATCTGCTGATACCTGCCGGCAACGACGATGCTTTGAGCAGATGGGTTCATGGTTTTGAGGACTTCCAGGTTTAATGAAAATTGTTGGGCAGACCATACGTGACGTGGACAACAACAAACAGCTTCGGATACATGATTGTCATTTTCTGCATTGTATCTGCCGGCTCTCCCTGCGCCCTGTGCATGTGATCTTTGGCCCATGCCACACGAATCCAACACAGCACGCTCCGCAAACTTCTCCGAGTCAAGCAGGAGCATCATCACCCTCTAGATCCCTGAGTGAAATAGGAGAAAAAGGGTACCCTGTTTTGTCTTTGTCAAACTAGGGTTCTTAAGGCTCCTCACGCAAAAACGGAGTAAATCACGACGGGGCATCCTGACTCTGCAGTGCTTTGATCAGATCGAAAAAAGAAAGGAAAGTTGGCAATGAAACTCCGCCCGCGCCATCAACACCTTTGTCTTGTCCGAGCTTCAGCACGCGCCGTGAAATCAAAACAGTGACTGACATGCTCTTTGCGAATGCATGTGGTCGTAATAGTCGACGCTTGCAAACCTAAAGTTGCAATGTGTTGCAATTCTACTCGGTGGGCTTGCACGAATGAAATCCAAACTGCACATGCATGATCCACACAATGTTGAGGCCGCCTGATCGAGCGAGTAATGTACGCCAAGTGTAGGTTGCACAGATCCATACCGAATTTTGGAAACTATCTTGTATGCCATGTCATTTTCAAAACAGCAATGAGGCGCCAATTCTCCGGCACAACAGTACCAGTTTCGGAATCACCGTGAAGGTTATGCGGTGCCAGCTCGTCCTGTCCTCTTCCAATCAGCAAATTGCTATACTTGTCTGCTGCAATGTTGAAAAATTTCAAGCACAATGCGGTCACAATTCGAATGTTTGGCTGCAGTCCTTACTTCTGCAAAAGCCATCGAGCAACCAACTCATGTTGAACAAAACTGTGGTTAATCGCTGATTCCCCCTTTCGACGCATGTGGCAATGCAGGCGGCATCGAATCAGCACGCCGCAAAATACCTATCACCAGGTCTCCGGCCAGAACCGACCGAACTCATAACACCTCTAGCACCAGACGATGCTCGCCGAGAGCATCCCCTCATTGACCGCTGGCCAAGACAAAACCGGCTTGCTGGGCTTCCGGCAGCGGCAGCTAACCAGAGGTGGAGGGCCATGTCTGGAGAGGACTGCATCAACCTGCAGTTGTTGCTGAAACTCTCAGGATTTTTTTGGACCGGGCCCTACAATGCCTTCGAGGTGCAGGTTCTCACCTGCACGTTGGCTGGGCATCGGGCGCTGTGTTCGTCTTGTGCACAAACTGGAAGACCTGCTTTTGACCCAGCTTCAACGTTCGGGACATTTCAGACATCAGGGGCCCGGTGCTAAAAGAGCACCCCCGACTGCAACTGTCAGAAATGCAGGGGGCCTTTTTCATGCTGACGGCCGGTTGTGGCACAGCATCATCTCCTTCCTGCCAAAGGTTCCGGGTTCGGGGTTTGTGGCAGTGCATCCAGCAAGAATTCTGGGAGGGGTTATTTCACTGTCTTCAGTCCAAAGATCATAGCTTGCGCGCCATTTCAAGCGTTTTGCTTCAAGATCTTTGGGCCATTTATATTGCATCTGGCTCGTTTTTCAAACATGTTCAAGCCATTTGTTGAAATGAGGCCCATCTTTGAAATGTGTTTAAGGCTATTATTGGCCCAAAGCGTAGCAAGCCTTAAGCAACATCTGTTGAACATGTATAGTGCTACTCTCAACATTCACTGGTCCCTCTGAACCTACGCCAACACCACAGGGACACCTGCCATCATGCACAGGAGACCCGTGCCCAACTGGACTGCTGGATGTAAACAAAACCAACGAACCTCCAAAGGACACTCGGCCCCGGTACCTCGGCCCGTCGCTTCTCCCGTGCGAGGATCTTTGGCACGAGCCCCAGGGCAGCGAAGAAAATGGGCTGGAGAGTATACACAAGCCTGCGCAGAGATTTGCGAATTCTGGCCCAGTTTTCGGGCCTGTAGCGCCCCTTTGCCCTGGTTGTTCATCTTCTGCGCGCATGCCCACTGCTGACTTGACGTGCCATGATGTTTGCTGCTGCGTGTGTTGCCATGCTGCGCAAGCGAACCAGTCAGTTCCAGTTTAGTGCCTCGTGTGCAAAGCACCGAAGCCAGATCGCAATGAAAAGCAGGACACGTGATGAAACTTTCTGCAGAACCTGAGTGTTCTGACTGTGTGAACTGCAAGGCCTTCTTACCGAGACGCCGTTGTGAATGGCCGCACGCGCACTTGTGACAAGCTGCGCCAGGCTCTGCAACGACATTCGTAGTGACTGAGCTCGAATGCAAAGCAAAAAACAAAATCAACAGGTTGTATCAGCCTGTTTACCATTGCACAGACCATGTCAACGTCCCAAAGCCCCTTATGGCTTAGAGTCCTTTAGGAAGTCCCATAGCAACCACACTCTATATTTTGGATGCTTGAGTGCCTAGGCCTAAGTCCACATCACATCCTCGCAACTTCCACTCGCAACACATGGCATCCTGCAGCTGGCGTTCAATCTCCGCCCTCACTCCCAACCCTCCGCCCACCCGACGGCCTGTTCGGCCCGCCTTGCCCAAAGAAGCCTCTGCGGGTCGGGGCGAAGACGCTTCATGGCTTCTTCAGGCAGTGTTGGGTATCTTTGCCACAGGACTTGTCTAGACAGTTCGAGTGTTTCGAGTGTTGTAGCTTAACTGCAGGGCCCTAGGAGCCACAAGTTTTGACATGGTCATGAGAAGGCTCCAAGGTGCATTGTCTTTGGGCTGGCAGGGCCTTCTCTTCATGTGGCCTGCAGAAACTCCCGAAGTGCCCTACCTCCAAGCAACTAAGCCCCTCAATCTATTCAACGTATTGAGCCCCAGCCCCTCCTCTAAACGCTGTCGTCCTTCTGAGCCCTCTAAACCTCCACATTCCACAGGCCAACTTCATGCTCCCCATGAACCCCAACTTCTTGCCATGCCCACCGAACATGCAGGAACATGCTTCCTGCATTGCACTTTCTAGTTCAGTTGGGGGGTGATGCGTGGACGTGTTCTTCGCATTGCATATGCTCTTGTGATTGGCAAGAAACCCGAGCTCAAGCTCACCATTGAGAACAAGATCCCGGATGCACATTTTGCGCGTCTCGTCTTGATGTCGACCAACGAATGTCAAATCGAGGCTGTGGGTCTGTCTCAGCTCAGGTTGCAGAGTAGCTCTGGCCCGTTCCACGACTCTTTTGTATCAGCTCAATTGCTCAACCACCATCAGCCGTAGCCTTTCGACTCAAGCCAAATGTTTGTGGACTGATGAGGCCGCTCTCAACCCTAAACCCGAAGTTTCCAAGATCAGCTTCCAAACAAAAAGATCCTTAGACCTTTTCTTTATGGGGTTAAGGGACAAACAACTTAATCGCCCTAGAAATGGCGAGGATATGCAAGGGCCTCGCATCGTCGTGAGGATCTGAAACTCAATGTCTGTATCCTCATGCCGTACCTGATTCGGAGGTTTGGCTGCTGAGGTTAGACGAAATTTGGGCTTGGAGATTTTGGCCTCGTCTTTGGAGTTCTGCAAGGGGCCGGCGTTGTAAAACCCGAAGGCGCAACAGCAAAGGGCAAAAGTCTAAACCCAAATACGCTGAACTTCGGTTACGATGTGACGGGAGTTGCGCGATCTCGTTGTGCCCGCTGGGGCTTTCATGAGGCCGTTCCGACGAACGACTGAGCAGCTTACTTCGGTTTCTTGACTGGAGACTTGATTAAGCGCAAGGACCGATTTTCCCGACTTCCGTTGTCGGGCGCTTTTGTGAGCGTCCGTCCATCTTGGCCAAGAGAACCATAACTGCCCTAACTACATTGGACCTTAAGCTTGGCTCAGGTTATCTGGGGGGCCCCCGTGCTGTGAACAAAGCTGTTCGAATACGGATGACTAGCTGTAATACAGGTGAAACATTTTGCAATTCTGCAGCACCATCTCCGAAGAGCGAGTATCGGCCGCACTTAACTTCTGCAATTTTTGCTTAACACCCTGAGTGCTCCACCTGATGGACCAGCTTGCACACCTCAGTGCGCGACATCACTTGCTTCGGGTTTAGGGGTGAAGGATCGTTCATGCTCAGGTACTCTGGTAGAAGCCTTAACTCGATGTGCAATCTGGAAACTATGAACTATAACGGGACCGTTAGGTCTGCGCTGGTGGCTAGCCAGCCTTGAGAGGGGTGGCCTGAAGACACGTAGGAGCGATTGAAACAACCGTGAACCCCACCACCCAAGGCGCCTTGTGTTGCTCCTCGGCGAACCGAGCCTTGTCTTTGGCCTCATCCATTGGCGTGTCCTCCTGCATTAATTCATGTAACGCACAGTCCCGAAATAGTTGTTGGCTGGCTGATGACCAAGGTCAATCTGCATTTGCATAAATCCTGATGTAGCAATGGCATGAGTGCGTAGGTCTGCATATATGCAAACGCGGTACCCCTCACAGATCTAAGCGGTAAGTTTAGGGTGATCATACGCCTATATTGTTAAACGGTTTATAAGGGGAGAGTTTACAATGTCAAATCGCACGGAGGTGAGTTCTTTCGTTGCCTGACGCTGGCGGTCCGTTCCTGACTTCAACACCATGAAACACTGGCTGTTCACAGATTCTAGTAAAAGTCGATTAAAGAAAGTGTTTGAAGATATTCTCATCAGCGCCGCAACTTGCAGCATGTCTGGTGACAGGCCCAACACTGCAAATTACAGCGTTACTCTTGCATCGTTAATGCCGAGAATGACAAAACCTCCTCTTCCTGTCGCACCTCGTCCTTCAACAGAGGAGAAATGAACCCAAAGAGTGCCGTCACGTCGTCGACGCTGCTAAGGGCACGGTCGTCCTTCGGATGAGTTGAGGGTTGCGTCCAGCTCCAGAACTTGAGGACTTCCGTTAGGGGGTTAGGGTTTAAGGGAAGTGTGGAGGGTTTCTGATGTTCGTGCTTGCGGCTCTGGGGGGTAAGGGCTTGGGGCTTCTTGGTTCCATGAAGGCGTCCCGGATTTGAGGTTGAGGCTGGAGAGAGAGAGAGAGAGAGAGAGAGAGAGAGAGAGAGAGAGAGAGAGAGAGAGGGAGGGGGAGAGGGAGAGGGAGAGGGAGAGCGAGTGGGAGTGGGAGTGAGAGTGAGAGAGAAAAAGAGACAAGACACATTTGACATCCTCGATGCAAGCGAACAATTTTTCTACTTATGCGGTCAACTCAAACTCGGGGTATGTTGGGGCACCAACCAAACTGCCAGAAGGTATCAAATTTATGCGACAACGACCGATGAATCAGTTTGAGGCAAGGTAGAGCCACTGTCAAATCGGCACAGTGGTTTTCCCTTTGTGAACGTTGGGAACGCGCCCGCAGCATCGCCTAGGCGGAAATAGGTAGTCCGAACATTAGCCGTCGGAGGCCGCGAAGTTATGTCCGCACCGAAACATGCGATGAACTTCTCGACGACGCTCCCAGAGGTTCCTGGCCGGGTCCAGTTTCTCAACTGGCGCAGGTCTTGCGGAAGATGTCGAGGTCTCGATATGCCCCGGGGCGCCATGTTGTCTAGGCAAAAGGGGTCCTTCGGGGTCTGCAATGGCAACAGCGCGGATTAGACCTTGTCATTCTGGCACGGTATGGTGAGGAAAACGCAGGCCGCCGCCGGTGGTGTGCACTCTCCGTCCACACATATCGAAGTTCAGCTGCCGCCGCTTCGATTCATCGGAGCATTCATTCACCAATGGTAGAATATGGGCGGACGAGCCGGAGGTCCTTGACTGCAAAGGCATCCTTAAGTCTTGGCGATCCCTGGCCCCTCTCAACAGTGCGCTCTCGATCTGCCTCATGTGGAGTCGAACTGCGGGAGGTACGCGGCGCCCGTGATGGAGACATATCCCTGGCACGCTCGATGGACAACTTGCTTATTCCCTGACTTGCGACCCCCGCTCGGAGTCTTGCTCCGACAGATTCTACGACAGGCGCATTGACAGGCAGGGGTTCGAGGTCCATGCGATGGCCAACTGTCACCACAGTCGGCAGTTCGAGCTCCAGAGTTGGCTGCGCAAGGCTGGTCGCGGACATCTCGCAACGTATAGTAGTCAGGAGTATGGAACCGCAACAAGCGACGCTAGCTTGATCACGTCAGCACACGCACCAGGTCAAGTACACCGGCGAATTTTTCAGCGAGGAATGCCATGATCGGGGAGCTATCTACGCCTCGGGGCAATCCTACAAATCGCACAGAACTGGCAAACACATACACGAGGTCAGGTCGAGGCAGGCCCGGGGTCACGAAAGGAATGCTCACCCCAGTTTTCAAAGTGATCCTAGTGTGCGAGTGAGTGAGTGAGTCAGTGAGTGAGTGGTGTTACGATGCCGTCAAAGGCGCTATCAATAAGTCTGTGGGCGTCCCTTTCCCTGCATTAGCCTCGGTACCCTTGCCGAGGCGGCCTCGCGTCAACAGTTAAATTACATCTGTCGGAGGGTTCCTTTGGCTCTGAAGGAAACGGGTCCTGCTGACGCAAAGCTGAAACTACGGTTTCAGGATTTAAGCAAACAAATACCAACCCATCCTCCACGATGGCGCTGACCATGTTCAAGGACACTTGCTTCCGGATCTCGAAGGTCAAGAAGCCCACAAGGCCCTGTGGGCAGGGCACTGCACAATGCACAATGGTCCTGGTTGCTGTCCTTAACCACCGAGTGGCATGGCCGACCAACAGTTTCAGTGGTCTCGAACCATGCAAATAGATCTAAGAGGTGCTGCGTCCCACATCCCGAGTGTTCAGCCAAAACTCTTGGTTCACACCTACATGAAAAGCTGGGAGAATTCTGCATGCTCAAGCAGGAGCTGGGGGCGGCGCGGCAAAGTGCTCCATCCTCAGGGAGGGTCCGGGAGGGATTGAAAGTTTGACGATTCGAGGGCCCCTCAAACTTAAGCTATTCCAGAAAGTCATCGTCTGCAGAATATGGCAGGTGATGAAACCCATATGCTTCGAGCCTTAAACTCGTTTAGGGCATCGTGACAGTGGGCGGGTGCAGCTGTGCATTGTGGAGCTGCGGCTGGGTCGGCCGGTGGCTGGTCCTAACACCTACTTTGCAGGTTTTGGCAGTGCCTTTCCCGCACTTGATCATTTCGGCCAAGGTTTGGCAGCTGTTGGTGTAGAAAAAGTGGACTTCTCATTCCTCACTGCCAAAAGCAACATGGTTCCTCACAGAGAACCTCAAATCAAACACATCTTTTTGCCTCATGTTTACTTTTGTCGCCCCCCAGGCAATTTACATGCCCGACTCATCGTACAGAGGCTGGAAGCGCCCACATTCTCAACAAGGTTTATTGCACTTGTTGCTGCGAAGCCAGAAGCTGTAAGCCGCGACAAGCGACATGTAAGCTGTTAAATCCGGCTTAAGAGCGTTCCGGACTTTAACTGGCAAGAACGTCCCCCTTCAGTAAAGCCAATAGCTTCGTGCCAGTAGAAGCACACATGTGGATAAACGAACGCCTCTAGACTCTAGCCCAAATGATTGGATGAACAGCGTGGGACTGTGCAGCAACAGCAACATCAAAAGCAGACTCGCTCTCTCCAAAACGTGAAATCCTGCGCGCAAGAGCCGATTGAACCTCAACGTGAAGCCCCTGAATCATCCCAGAAACATTTTGCCAAGTAGCTTCAGCACCCCCAATCCAAGAGTTTTCATCGGCCCAGCCCTGGGCGTAGTGTCTTTGGGAGGGTGATTTCAGGATCAGTGAACAAGGCTTGGTGGTTGGGATTTTAGCTGCCGTATCCACCGGTTGTGGCACAACTCAGGCTCCATATAACCCGGCCTTGGCTGACAACACAAAGTGCCCCCAACAAAATGTTTATTGCCTGCTCTACAAGGAAAGCTCTGGGAGTGCTCCGTACTCAAGGGCTCTCTCACATTGGTTGCCAAGTGACGGGTTGACTGACTCCACACATCATGACACATCTGCATCTGTTTGCTCTGCCACCAAAATACTTCCCGTCATCTTGATTGAAGCAACAGCCATGATGAACCAGCGCGATCCATGTTGAGCATTGGGTCGGGTGTTTAGCGACTTTCACAAGAGACCAAACTCGCAACAAAGCAACTCACAAGTTGCGACCACGACGTCCACAACACACCACTTTGACGCAGGCCCGGATCCTACACAGCGCCTCGGTCCGAAGCGGAGCTTCGAAACCTTCAGCCCTAGCAAATACCATCACTCTTACACGGGGCTGCGGCAGCAACTCCCCGATTTGGTCCGCCGCCTTCTCTGAGATCGGGCCACTGCAGCCTATTGAGGGCGAAGGCTTGGGGTTCAGGGAGTTCAAAGTTGGCATTGTCCCACAAGGGGAGTAAGAGAGATACAGGATGTGGAGTGATAGGGCAGGCCCTCTGAAAGCCTGGATTCGTCTTAATCCCTAGCTACTGAGCAGTGCTGCCCCGCCCCCACAGGTTGGCTGCTTTGATGTCAACCCAAAAACCGACGGCATCTTTGCAAAATGGTCAGCATGGGTCACGAAAGAATCATCCAAACCTTGCCCCCCCAACCCCCCCCCCCCCCCCCCCCCCCCCCAAGTCCAACGTTCTCAGGCAAGGAGGCCTGGCAGAGCCTTAAACTTTTGCAGGAGCTCAGCAGCAGATCCGAGGATGATGTCGACATAGTGGACCTTCACCGGGTTCACCAGGTCCCCACAATGGCTGTGCGAACTTCGTGGCTTTTGAAGGGCTTGCATGTTGCAACCGGGGTGTGACCGGAAGAAGGGGTCGCTGTTTCGATCGTCTGGTGGTTAGGGGGCGCGCTTCTCCGGTGAATGGCTGGCTCGGCTGCAGGTGTTCTTTGGTAGCAGTGGTTGCCTTTCTCTTATGGCCGTTCCCTCAGGTGATCCGGGCGCCCCGAGTCCCCCGGAGGTGGTGAGCGATGCTCTGGATCCTGAGGTTCCGGTCTACTCGACCTCGGAGCGGCTGAAGGCGCACCGAAACAAGGGTCACCAACCTTATGTGAGCGGCTGTGACATTTGTCAAAGCGCTAGAGGGCGAGTGCCCACTTGTAGGAAACACATGAAACATCACTACGGACCCGGAGAATTGCAAGTAGACTTTGGATTTTTTGGAAAGAATGTCAGTTCTTTTGGTTCATGTCTTGACGGGATACATCCGTGGTCTTAGGACCTGAGGACGAGGTGCCCGTTGTGTCGGTCTGCAAATCCTTTGCCGAAATGGGATTGCCCTCGCTTTCGTAGTAAAACACCAAAACTTTTGACGTCACCCAATGTGCTAGCAATATGTGAACAGTGCTACACAGAAGCATCTCAGTGTTCTCCTTCTTAATTTTAACAAGGGTCGGGGGCCGGGCCGGGGGTGCCAACCCAGCACAGTACACGTTTCAGCCCATCGACCTTTGACGGTCTTGAGCCCTAAGCCGACTAGGGATTCAGAATTTCCCCATCTCCATTTTTGTTCAATCATATCGCTTCTTCCCGGTAGTCGGCCCCACAAGCAGCCCAAGTTCCCACTTCCCCTTGTGAGCAGTGTCTTGAAACAAGTGATGTGGGGAGACGTTTGCTCACGCAGGCCTTCTTTGAAACTGCAGCTCCCCTCTTGGTCAGCATAGGTCAACCATTCATAGGAAAATGGTAAAGTCTTGCTCGACACACTTCAAGGGAGTCCATTCCTTCCGCTTGATTCCTGGTCAGCGACTCAATGGTCACTAAGGCCTAGCTAGGACAAGAAATTCCAGAGCTTGGGCGCTGTGAGGGCTGATGTGTACATTACAGGTCTGCCCGTGCACGCCGGGTTCTCTCTCCCAGCCATGCAACCGATTACTTACTCGCTCACCTGCTCAAAAATGTCAGGTATTCTCTGGCACCCGGCCTTATCACTTTTCAATAAATGTCACTGTGTCAGGGTCCAGAATGCATGAGGAAAGCCTATGCGCACAGGGATGCTCTATACCCTACAGGAACCCACCACACCATAAACCCTTAGTGCCAAATTGGCGTTGGCATCTGTGGCGCCTGATCCGGGTACAAGGAAACTGTGAACTGCATGAATGCTGCCAGGACCTGCCAAGTGGCAAGGGTGCTAAATTGACGAACTCGTGATTCTGATAAGGCCCAACTGAGATGTCAGGGTAGGACTTGACGTGCCCATTACTTGCAGGAAGGTCTTGTACTGAGCTAACTTTGTATTCTAGTCTCGGGTTGCTCTTTCGAGGCTGACATGAAGAGCCCCAGGCAGCTTCAAAACTTAGGGTCTTGAGAGCGGGTTGGAGATTTCGTGCGGGTTGGGGGTTTCATCTTGCTGCGTTCGTCACCATGCTCTGACCTATGCTCTGACCTAAGGATTGCAGGTAGTCCTGGTCGCCGTGTTTAGGGTTTGCGTGTAGTTGTCAGTAATTCGTCACGGCGAAGCTTGTTCACGGCAACCAAACCCTAAGACGTGTGAAGAATTCGAGTACAAAGTTCAACCCAACAACGGCCGTGTTACACGTCATTTGCAGAATAAGTTTGCCAAAGCAAACATTCCGGCATTTTCTCTTGACTCAAAGGCCCACGCCCTGCTGAGAGGCAGGATGCAGGAGCAACCAACCTCGAGCATGAAGCCTCATTGCCTAAAATCGTGGAGCTCTGCAGTTCGACAGTTCGACTCTTCCCAAACCCTCAAGCTCCAAACAGGCCTCCAAAGGAGGTGCCATGTCTGGCATTGGCGATGCAACAGCAACTCCCCCTTGGCTTTGCTGCTGTGGCTGCAGAGCCTAAGCAAGCAGGTTTTAGTTTGGGTCGCTGGTCTATGTAATAAGAGGCCGTGTAATAGCGTAATAAATGAGGGGAAAAACCAAAACAGAAGATCGCGAGAATTGCGCACAAGATTCCCTAGGAATTTATTAAATTAGAACGGGGCTCATTCATTACATTCATTTCGTTCTCTATGTTCTCTCTTATTAGTATATTTATTATTACGTCCTCACTTCTTAATATTAAAGGGCGTACGTATGAACAAGTGTGTGATAAAAACCATAATGAATAAAGTGAACGATAAAAAGACCATATAATATTGTAAACACGGCAGCGGGTGGAATTTTAGTCTGTTCTGTAAGCCTTCTGGCGCTGCCTTCAGAATGCTCTGCCTTTCGCCCAAGCTGTCGTAGTCCAAGCACCGCTTCGAGGTCTTCAGCAAGGCCCTAAATGCCCTTCTTGCCTTGTACAACCCAAACCCATTCTCGAGCACCCCGAAATAGGCTGGGCACACCTGGCCCGACTGGTGACTAGGGAAGGGGGCTTGCCAAATGTCCGAGGCAGGCACGCGCTCCAAAATTCCTTGGAGATGCGATCGAAAAAGCCTTGGCGCACCTATGGCCGTTTTTGCTAACGAACACTTCAGACTTCAGAGAGCTTGCACTGTAGAGCTTGGGTCAATCTTCAGGGATCCAGGGGTTTCTTGGACCGGGCTCGGATTTGTCCAGCTGGGGGTGTGCGGCGTGAGAGTGCTGCATGGCCTTGAGCGCCGCGGCGGGCGTCTGCGCGGCATTCTTCCTAGACTTAAAGAATTTTACAGCCTTTTCAAATTGAACTTGTGTTGTCGGCATCTTCTGGTCCGCCGCTTTTCGGAGGTCTTTCGTTGACGATGCGCTTGAGTTTTCAGTTTAGGTTTAGCCTGCAGCACGACAGGAGGGTCGGGCAGCTCGGGGCTCGGCCTGAGCCCTGTTGTATAACCCGTGGTTCCTTTTTGTGTGGTATTTTTACGTGGCTCAGTTCGCAGCATGTCTAGCACAAAAGAGCAAACACTTACTTGATCCTTGTCGGCATTTCTTATGGAAGTTGGCTTGATAAGGCTCCTTCCTCTCCCTTCCACGTGCTATTGACAATGCGCGGCTCGGTTCCACTACAAATCACCAGTTTGCTTCACCCTGCTTTCTGCGAAAAAAGCTGGGAATGAAGTTTCGCAAGCTCACGGGTCTGGCAGGTCATACGTGCATGGTACATGAGCGAGGACCCTTCGGTGAAGCCTAACATATCCAAGCAGAGTGGCGAGAAAATGTCCCCAGCTGCTTGAACCTTCGAGCTGTCTGCCTCAACACGGCTTGGCTTAGCTGATCTTACTTGTTGTAGAAGGTGCGATAGCAGCCTCCTGCACTATAGAGCCGTCACAGCAGAAGGAACTGGCAGGAGCGGGCCTAGCTCCCTACATGATCGCCTAGTTCGCAACAAACCTGTGCATGCCTGCAAGTGACTAGTCCGGATGTCTTTGCTGGAGGTATGCAGGTACCACATGCGTATGTGGCGTATCGTCGTGCTTTCGAACTCGTCCGATGCCTCTGAGAGGTAGTTCGCAAGCCGGTTCATCAGCGTAACCATGATGGGCTTCATGTCTACATTCCTGAGGATGGGCGGGCTCAACCTCCTCAACAATTCTGCTAGTTCCGAGAGCCAAGCTACAACGGAACCCTTCCAGGCTCCATGTTCAAAGTGAAGATTCAAACATGTTCAACCTGTTACAGCACATCTTGACATGATGCATCTTCTCACACACACTAGGCCGCTTGTTACGTACCACTCGATCAAATGACACATCCGTGGTTTAGGGGTGGATTGAGCGTATACCGACCATATATGAACGGCGCAAACAAAGTACAGCTCGATCTTGTCATCAGCTGTGTTGCAGGCCTACTTATCAGGCTTGTCAGATGAGTCACCAACGATCAGCTGCAAACGCATGCTGACCTGGAGCCTGAAACCAAAACCCTTCTGCCGGGCTCCCGCTGCCGCTTTGAACCTATCTCTCTCTCTCTCTCTCTCTCTCCCTCTTCAAAGCCCCCGTCACCAAATTCGGACAACCAGCCCCCCCAGAATCCACAGGCCCCGGCGGCAGCGCCCGAACGTAAGACGACAGCATCTGCTCCAAAGTGCGGATATGGAACCTAGGGAAGAAAGCTCCAGATTGATCTGGGGGTTTCGGGCTTAGGGTCTCAACGCTGTTGACCCGCAGGCAAGTGTAATTTGGACTGTGGCATTGCCGAGACTGGGGGTTCAGGAACATCACCGGCAGATCCGGCACAAACCAGATTACGAGGCCTTTTGGGCAGGCAAGGGAAAGTGCAAGAAGAGTGCTCAAGAGAGGGGAAATGCTGGATGGGCATGTTGTTGTTTGCAGCCTCTGCTAGTTCTGTAAGTACGTATGACCCTCGCTTCTCTAATTTGTTTCAGATATTCTGGATGCTCGGCGCAGGTTGAGCATAGGGATGAGCTGGAGCGGGATAACAGGAACAGGGGAGAATCAGATAAGTATGACCAGCCAATGACAAACTGCTCCACCAAAGATGGCATCGATTGGTTCGCTCAGCCGCTACAAACTATCCTGATCCCCAATGGACCTAAACGATCGAGTAAGGCCCGGCACTCATCGGGGAACACTTGAATCATGCTCTCCAGAAGGTACTGCTGAGACCTGGGAAGGTATTCTGCTGAAGAGTGGGATTTTACAACGATGTCAAGCTGCAAAGACCGGAGCCCGGTCGTTTGGCCTGAATGGGATGGGGTGCGATGGGGTTACCCTGCAAGTCTGTGGCTTTGGGTGTTGCCCTTCAAGCTGTACGAGCACCCGACATCACGTCCTTGACAGAGACGATGTGATCCAGGATCTTTGGGAGGGCGTCTTCGGCGTAGAACTCCATGGTCATGCCTCTCTCAGACTCTGAGGAGACGTTTCCAGGGACCATACTGAATCTGATGAGACCCTGAGTTCGGCTTGGGGACCACCATGCAGCTAACCACAGCCATGTCAGGAGTCTTTGATGGAAGCACGTGCGATGGAGGCTAGAGCCCTCTAGCACGGGACCCCAAGTCAAGAAAGCCCCAAGAAGCAGGCAAGCCCAGACCGAAAGTCACAGCCACTTTTCTAGCTTCAGCCCATGCAGGCTCTCAAGCTGTGCAACAAGACCAACTGGCTCAGTAAACCCCTGCAATTAGATCGTTCAACTGTATGCCCGAGAGGCCTGTGTGCTTTTCATAGGGCTCGCAAATTCCAGATGAGTTGTGGTTGTCCACAACAATCGAGAAAAGACCATGCAGCATCCCTGTCCGTTTCTAGGTGCAGCACCATCCAGCTGGCTGAGTCGAACAAGATTGGCACCAACAAGCACGCGCAAGTCCTGGGACTGCAAGGATGTTCGCGGATGTCAGCACTTTTCAGCACCCATACATAAACCCTCGGCACGCCCAACAACTCAAAAGTAAATCTTTCCTTGTGGCCTGCAGGGGCCTGTCGAACCTGCGAGATGACATCTTAGAAGCTTTGGACTCCTTTGGTTCGGGTTGCCTTCCAGCATCCATTACAAAAAGAAATGCCCAAACGAAACCCTCAACGAAGCCTTACGGCCGAACTTACCTGTTCTGGCCTGCTTGCTTCCTGCACAAGATGCGTGCTTCCTTCTTCATCAACTAGGGTGTTTGTATTGTAAGGCTTGCATTCTAAAACTTCACTGTCGCGGATGCGAGATCCCGGCTTTTTGCAATCAAGGTCTTCTTAGGTAAGGCAACTGCAGCTCAACTTCACATGCTCACTTCCACCATGCTTGTAGCCTCTTTAGACCACTGAGGGTCGATGAAGAAGCAACACGAATCCCGACACTGTCGTCGTATCAGCCCAGACGCATGGCGCTCGCGTTCTCGCCGATCTTTTTCCCTGTCAGCAAAGCATGCGACTGCCTTGCTGTTTTGTGTGCGCTCGTGCCAAATCGTACCTCTGACTTGTGCGCGCTGTCACAACATACACCGCCAAATGCCAGTAACATAGCGCTCCTCCTACTACTAGTACTACTACTCCTACTCCTACTCCTACTCCTACTCCTACTCCTACTCCTCCTCCTCCTCCTCCTCGTCCTGCTACTCCTACTCCTCCTCCTCCTCCTACTCTACTCCTGCTACTACTACTACGACGACTACTACTACATACTACTACTACTACTACTACTACTACTACGACAACAACTACTACTACTACTCCTACTCCTACTGCTACTGCTACTGCTACTCCTACTCCTACTCCTACTCCCACTCCTACTACTACTACTACTTCTACTACTACTACTACTACTACTACTACTACTACTACTACTACTACCTACTACTACCTACTACTACCTACTACTACCTACTACTACCTACTACTACCTACTACTACCTACTACTACCTACTACTACCACCTACTACTACCACCTACTACTACCACCTACTACTACTACCTACTACTACTACCTACTACTACTACTACCTACTACTACTACTACTACTACTACTACTACTACTACTACTACTACTACTACTACTACTACTACTACCTATTATTACTACCTACTACTACTACCTACTACTACTACTACCTACTACTACTACTATTACTACTACTACTACTACTACTACTACTACTACTACTACTACTACTACTACTACTACTACTACTACTACTACTACTACTACCTCCTACTACTACTACTACTACTACTACTACTACTACTACTACTACTACTACTACTACTACTACTACTACTACTACTACCTCCTACTACCTCCTACTACCTCCTACTACCTCCTACTACCTCCTACTACCTCCTACTACTACTACTACTACTACTACTACTACTACTACTACTACTACTACTACTGCTCCTGGGCAAAGTGCCAGGCCCCGCCTTGAGGGGCCCTGGTGCTGGATGCGGACCTGAGAATGGCAGCTCTTGTTGAAAAGCAGACTGTTCGCATGCCACCAAACCTTCCGCCTTGTGTAAAGTTTCGGGTGGACCGGATTTTGAAGCAGCCTCCGATGGGCTTGCATCGCTACTTGCACAGTTCCACTTGTTCCTAGTTGGTGATTGTTTGGTTTGTTGCAGAGGCTCGGGAGGTTTTATGTGTTGCACACTCCCTCGGGAGGGCTTACTAGCATCGGCCTTGAGGTGTATTTAGGGGGCAGATCCTCAAACCAAGCTGGAGCTAGCCTGAACTTCAAGACCTTCAGCTAGAACTGTCTTCCACGATCCTGGGGGTGCGGGCGGGTGGGGGGGTGCGCGTCTGCCATCAGCCAAAAACAAAAATCCCAGCCCAACAATAAATTGCCACATGACCAAACAAAACACAAGCTGAGTGTTCTTGTCTATTGACTGCTTTGCCTGTGTGGCTCCAGAGCCAATCCCTCACCCCTAAATCACCCAGATCTTCTCCGGCTTTTGACTCAAAAGTGGCCATGCGGCCATGCGCTAAGCCCCCCAAGCCGGCAGTGAACCCCCAGCTCTAAGCACCGAGACCCAGAGGCGGTTGCTCTCCTGCAAGGCTCTGCATGGCCCTGTTTGTCTTTACTTTGCTTCGGTCTGGTGCTCAGCCATGCGGCGGATTCGGGGTTCGAACTTGTGAAGGGTTGGAAACACTGCAGAAGATTTCAAGTGCTCACATGATGACAGCGGTCTATTGCATTCTGTCGCTCTGCAACCCGTTTTTTTCCCCCTGGGATGGTCTCAAAATCACAACCTTGGCGGCATTCATCGGCATTCTTGACCTTAAAACATCTGTAGTAGTTATCAGGGTGTCATGGCGCACCCTTGCCCGCTTAGTGGACACGGGCTAAGTGGCTAGCCCTCAAGCCTGACTAAACTCTACATCACCAACCCAAGTGTCACTCCGAAGTTCAAAACCTAACACGAAGTCTTCGAGGGGGCCCTTCGTCGTGCGTGCACAGAGCCACCTACAACATCATGCCGCTCCAAACCCTGACATGGCTTTCCTGGAAGTTGGTGAAGATAAACTCGAAGGCGTCGTTGATGTCGCCTCCCTCTCCCTCGAAGCCGGACCCGGTATCTGGCAGCTTATCCTGCAAGAGGCTTGGAAGTTGAAGGGGCTATGCGGCGGTCAGAACCCTGTCGAATCGGCACCTTAGCCTGTGTAGAAGAAACATTAAAACAGGTCCGTGCTCGTATGTGCATGTATCGGATGCTGTTCTGTATAGTGACTAGTTCAGGGCATAGGGGCTTACGTGCTCTGCTTCTTGAGCATAGACCGTGACAGCCAACGATGGACATGCAAAATCAAGCATCCCTCACGTCCCTCTTCTCGCATCCCGCCTCTTGCCTCGCGCGCCCCTCCTTGCGTCCCCTCACTTCCGTTTCCCCCTCCGCATCTGACACCGGTGCGTCCATGTTCCGACTGCATCGATTGCCGGGATCACGGCAGTGTTACCGCTGTACGTCCTCGCCGCTCGCATCACCTGCGTGATTCGCGTACCTGCGTCCCTGGCATATATAATTTCGTTCCCCGAGTCTGTTTTGCCCCCCCGCGTCAGTTGCAGAATGGGTGCTGAAAACCCCAAAGTCTCAAGCGGCAAAAGGGGGACGACCTCGCAAACTAGTCAAACTCATTCGGTTCTAGCTCTTTTGGTGACCCTAAACGCCAAGTTCTTGGACCTCGCTACGGTTTCAGTCTTTGAGTTCGGTCGGACGGAACCGCAAGGCGATGAAGGGCAGCGAACATCTCCGGGAAGGGCCTTCAGCATCTGCGACAGGTAGTACCGGAGGAAAAGCCCTCTAAGAGGGTGCTGGACCTTGGCCCGCACCCTGAACACCAGCTGGTTCCAAACCCTCAGCCTGCATTTATATTAATCACTATCAAATGAGCTTGGACCAACTTCCGTGTGCTGTAACTGCTTCCATCCATGCCAATACAAAACGAGGACCCATGACAGAATCTAAGCCAAACCCGAATCTGTCCAAAGCCTCTAGAAAGCTGCGGGCAACCTCAAGCTTCGCAGGCTTTTCGTGCGTCCAACATCACAATGCCGTGCCTGAAGAAAAGACTGCCTAAAGAAACTTTCGGCTGGCTTAGGGCCGCTGCAGCAGAGGGCTTCCCGGATCATCACACTTGAACAGCGACATTTCTACGATTGTGATGGCTGAGGGGGGTGGAGGAATGAGGTTGGTGCCTGAGGCAAGCACGCCTTTGCACAGCTCATTGACGTCCTTGAGAATTTCCTGGCAATCATGTCTTCTATTTCAGCATGTAGACCAGCCATGAAGATGTATGTGTTTTGCAGGGCATGGTTGTGGCCCCTGCGTGTCGCTTCACTGAACAATAGCTTCCCGGAGGCTTGGTTCTGATACCGTCCCATCCTAAATGTTATTGACATATGTAAGAAGATCTAGTTAATCTAGTTGTGAATTGAGACCTGGCCATTATTAGCAGCCTTGCTTGTAAATCAGAATCGAAACGAGCCGCCCACAACATCTCCTCTCTTTAACGATAAGGTCAACACAAGATCTCCGCAAAACCTGTTGTTTGCTGTGCGCCATGGTGTCACCAGCCACGCCTGTAGTTCCCCTAGAAGAACCCTGTAGCTGCACATTGGGACTCCTTGGGAAGCGATCAGCCCTGAACAATTTCAGGTCCCATGCCCTCGCCGTCTCATGATAGTACTGCACTAGGATTGTACTTCACAATCCATACATTACCTGCGATCTTGAGCTGCTGCTTCTCGCCAGCCACATAATCACAACGTGAACGGCTAAACATACGTACCCTGAAAACAACTCACCGTGTCGCATGGAAGTATGTTTCAAAAGGCATAATTGTTTAATCATTTGGGTGTGTACCCTTTTGAATTCGACCAATGCTGATAGTACTCGAAAATGCCACCAGACTTGCATGTGGCTGTCTATGCTGAACGATGTTCATTTGATATTTGAGCCCACGGAGGTCGATGGAGACCAGTACCATAAGCGGTGCAGAACAGGAAGAATAGCCACCAAAACAGCTCAGGATCCCGGTAGCTGTTACAAAACAGAGCTAGGTCGCCTTTGCCGTCTGTCAATGAGTGGATGCTCCCTTTTGTTGAGACCCGCAAATAGTCCGACCCAGTACTCTGTGGTCTTGTGCCGCGGTTTGCGCCTACTGGTTGTGCAGGGTATGTGTTCTTTCACTGCTGCCAGATACAGTGAGCACACCTAGGTGGCACTCCTGGGCGTGTTTTGTCACTAGGCCTGCGGAGAAATATGATTTTTCCTGTCGCCTCTCTCTATCGCTCTCTCGCTCTCTCCCGCTCTCGCTCTCTGTCTCGCTATCTCTCGCTCTCGCTCTCTGTCTCGCTATCTCTCGCTATCTCTCTCTCTCGTTCATTCTTGCTGTTTCTCTTCGCCCTCCCAGGTGGTTTTTCGTCTTCGGCCTCGTCTGCACTATAAGACATAGTGGCCTGGTCAATAAGCCATCTTGATTTGGGAGCAGGACTTACTGGAGCATGACGTTGAGCGACGCGCGTCTGCGATTTGTAGCCTGTTGTGACCAGAAGACTCCAAACAAAAGGCATTCAACGGACACACATATTTTTTTTTTTACCTTTCAGGCATGCTTATCTTATGACAAGACAAGAAGGGCCTTCGCGGGAGCTTCCAGGGACTTGATGTAGGCTGCAGCCACTGTAGCCAGCAAGTAGAGTCTCGGCAAAATATTGCCTGCATGCTGCACCTGCGCACAGGGGTTGCTGGTTGCCACCTGGGGATGTTCCTCCTTATACTAACAATTCTTAATCGGGATTATAATGGGGGGGGGACTAGAATCCCTATGGAGGACTGTTAGCAAAAGAGGCAACATCCTAATGGCCACCCTTTGATAGCCCGTGATGCCGCGAAAACTACATCTTCTACAATGCCAAGCAAAAATCTTTATGGACGACTTGCTGCCAGAAACAAGGGCAATCCACCTTTTAACGCAAATTGTAGTTCCAGGCTTGTGGTTTATAGTTAACAGTTTCTTGAACAATACGTAGCACTTCCTGCTCGTGTTCCTGTGCCAACATTTCCCAGTCTCTGGCCCATCCATGTGCGAGCTGTGTGGTTTGCTCTGGGACACCTGAAACCCATGATTGCCCAGGCGTTATCCGAAATTCAACTTACACCCCGACTGCCCAAAAACTAGAATCCTTGAAGCATCCTCCCATCACGAACTGCAGCCACGGTACTGACTCGTAGAGGTCAATCATTTTCTTTTTATGCCGGCTCCTTGTGGGCGCTGAGCAAAGGGTTTGGAAGGTGCTTCTAATTTCAAGGATACACACAACTTTTGGATGAAAGTTGCTTCCGGGAAATGCATGTCGTATTCGCTTCCTTGGACCTAGCGATATCCGGAGAACATATTTCTGCATGTATTTCTACAGCCCAAAGACTTTGCCCTTTTGCAAAAGCGCTTAGCCCTGCAATACACCTTCCCAAAACTACTGCATTCCGTAATTTGCATGGTCTAATTGTCTTCCATACAGCATACCGGTTGAACTCCCGGTGGGGGCTGGTGACCCGTGCCACTTCCGGCTACAACTTGTTGAACTTCCCGATGCGGGCAGGTGACCCGTGTGAGCTTTAAGTGCACGCTGTGTTGCAGAGTCGAGACCTGCCCCGCCACTTACCAAAACCCACCACCACCAACACCGACCGCCATTACCACGATCACCCAACACCCTAACTCCTCGAACCCACAGTGACGCTGTGGAATAGCCGAGGCGCTTGTCCCCAAAGAAGCCTGATAGGTGCTGCATCTCATTGAAGACCTTGAACATTGGCTAAGGGCTTTCCGGTTGCGAGGGGTCGAGGATCATTTCGCAATAGGCATGTTCTTGTGGACTCTCTTACTCTTAAATCCCCGGCCATCCCAGCAGAGGAATAGAGAAGGCCCTACATTCCCGACATCAACCTTTGATCCCAAGACATGCTATAGCAGTCCGTTTTTTCCTGCGGATGGTCTTACAGTAAATGTTCTCTTCGTATTGCCCGTAGACTTCTGCTGGAGAAGAAGCCTTGCTGAAGCCAACCTCGCAACCAACACCCCACAATCATTGGCCTGCATGTACAGCTCGAAGTAGTTCTTCGGGGACAGAAGAGAGGTACGGAGCCTGCCATTCCGATGTGGCCCCTCATAAGGCGCTTCTCACATCGTTCTTGAGTAAAGGCTTTTGGGTCCAGAGGACGGAGTTGAGTTGGGCTGGGGCTGATTGAGCTTTCAAACACACTGCTGAGTCGAGGGGGCTCCGGTCAGATTAAAACCCAAGATGAGCAATTCCAGTGGAAGCCATGGCTAAAAGTGGACCACAGTTGCTTCTCAGCCAGTCCTGGTGGCATCTTAAAAGCATCTAAGGGCAAGGTATTCATCCGGCTTTTGGAGTCGGGGGATCGTTCATATGCTTTCTTTCAGTGGATTTCGGCTTTTGAGGATTGCTTGGGGTTCGAGATTTACTAGCCATCGCTTTCGTCACAGGCAAACACTCTCTGCAGTCGAAATAGCTCGCTCCAAGTCTCACCATGAATCTTATCGGGCTTAGAATGTGCCAGCCAGCCCTGGGCGTTAGGGCCGCGCTCCTTCACTGCATTGCGGGATTAAGGTTGCTGAGGGCTTCATACTCATCCTTCCTAAAAGGTTAAGGTTTGCCAGCCGTCACCTAAAACGAAGGGCGTGAGATTTCAACTTCCACCCCTCAAAACAGCTAGGTCATATTGCAGCATCACGTCGATGTCTGCATTACTGACTTCAGTGGTGATTTCTGACCGGCTTCGGGAAAACATATCTTCTAAAGTACCCTGGCTGCCCGAACAAGGCCACAGTCGACACGAGCACAGCCTATTCAAAGCCTGCAGGGTGCTAAGCGGCCCTTGGCAGCATAGGCTTCTTCTCGCAGCCCCCCCCCCACCCCCCCCCCCCGCCCCAACCAAGGCCCACACTCGCAAATCATGTTGGAGGCGTTCTTCAACGCGTCCCGCACATTGTCTCCGTCGATGGCCTTGCGCATGTAGAAGGCTTGCTCCTTCACCTCGGTGGCCAAGAACAGCTTATGGTCTCGGGGTGTGCATCTCGAGAGCCATCATAGCGGCCATGTGCTGCGTTAGGGCCGCAGTCTTGTGCCATCACAAACGAGGGTGGACTGACCCTAACGAACTAGGGCTGACGATGGCTTCTGGACCAAACTTTATTTAGTGAGCAGAACTTCTAGAAGCACTCTCTGCAGTTGATGACTAATTCCCGCCTGCGTTCAAGATGTGATCATCTTCATTCAATTGGCTAACGTAATTGGAGGTCAGCCTGATTCTGACATCAACTATGCTATTTGAATGTCGAGCCCTCAAAACGCACCGGCCGACTTCCCGCTTTAATCCATTATGCGTTTAAACGGCAATTAGGTTCTGTATTGAATTTGCTTTGTTTACTTCATGGCTAATGGTTTAGGGCATATGCCTGCACAGGCAGAACTGGTTGTTGTTTTTTTTTGGGCTTGATGGCTTAGTGGCTTAAGCAGCTTGACTGCACGGGCAGAACTGATTGCTTCAGTGGCTTGACAGTTTCATGGGCAGGTGGGCCCCGTTCATAGGCTCAAACCTATGGTAACACGAACACCTAGCCATTCCGTAGGTAGAAACCTGAAAGCTTAAACCTTTTGGCTTAATGGGTTCATAGTTGCACCTAAAATTTGTCCGATCATGTTCCGAAACGTTTTGTACGAAGCAGACATGGCTCGAACCGTAGACGCGGGTGAATACCAAAGCCATGTCATTGCGATCTCATATTTTGTTCTACTAGCGGCGGGCCTATCTCACATCAGACATACACATCACCCCATTGTGGACGCTACATAGCGGGAATGCATATCAGCGGCGGAAGTACACATCAGGACACAGCAATGACCAAGTAGACGCTGGGATTCAAGCAAACAGCCAACATGGGTAGAACTGCCGGGTTTGCTGCGGACGCCAGCGTTTTCAGCACGTTTTTATAGCATTTTAACTATGTTTCAACAGCTAATCACCAGTGAGACGCTTGAACATCAACTACCTGAGGAATCCCAAATCCATTAAACCTAAACTGCCGGGGGTGGTCGAGTTGTCGCCGCGGCGATCAGGGTGACCGAGGCCACCCCCAGCAATCGTCCGTTACTTAACTCGCAACTCCCGAAGACATGTAGAAGCTTGCACGAGACAGACTTCGACACATCAAGAGATGCAATCTGCGGAATGCAATTCCCCAATGTGGACGCCGATCGATGTGTCGGGTTTTGGGCTGAGGGTCTTTGGGGTGTAAGCACTGCCAACATGCAAAAGACCATGTAGATGCTGTGTAAATGACGACGAGGCCGACTTCGACGCAGCAGGAGATACAGTATACCCTGGGGAATGCAGCTCCCCGATGTGGACGCCGATCGATGACAACCAGCCCGACTTTGTCACATCAAGAGATACACTCTGGGGAATGCAGTTCTCCAATGTGGACGCGGATCGATGCGTAAAAAACCCGAGCGATGCGAGATAAAGCGACTGCAAGTATTGGGTTCATTTCATATTCATGGTTGCTCATTACACCTGGAAGTGCCTTCCCGTGGAAAAGAACATCATCCAGCACGCTTTTGCGTTTGTGCTTGCTTGAGGTCTCGGGCTTAAGTTCTGATGATGTTGAGTCCAGTGACATTTGTGATAGCCCGCAATGAATATCCAAACCAACTTCAAAGGCACAAACGAGATTTGTTAGATCCCATGAACATTCTGCTTTTCAACGTCAATTAGGCTGAGAATCAGTTGATTGATTTTCATTAGGTCGACTCAAGCGCAGACGGATTCATCTCGAATACTGGTAGGAAGCAAGCACGACAACCAAAGAAAGGTTCATGAGGGGTGGGGTTGGGGGGTTGGGTATCACATCCATATATATATATATGTATGCACATATACACGCATATGTACATCAATCCTGTGTTGTTGAATATGCTCCCCCTCAGCCTCCGGCCACCGCCGTGGCCTCATCGAGCAGCCTCTCCTGATCATCGGGGCCTGCAGTTGTGGTCACTTCGTCAGGTTGAGTTCTCTCCTGGTTCTGGGGCGGGGTAGGGGTGTTTGATGCAAAAACAAACTTCCATGTGCTTCGTACGGAACGCATGATCCAGCAGCGCGGGCTGACCGCCCATGTTTCAGGCTCTAGACCCCCCCCCCCTCCCTGAAAACCCCTCCGCCCTGCTGCTACGGCCAAAGTGGCAGAAAGTCTTGCCCTTCACTTTGTTTGAAGGCGGGCTTCTGGGGTTCTCAGATCGGGGTATCACGATCCGCACCCTGCGGGACAATAGCCTTCCCTCATTCTGAACAGGGGGCCTGCAACCTGCAAACCCTACAGCCCTACAAGATAGGCAGCCCACTTATCAAATGTTCATGAGATGACTTTTTTGGCGGTGTGCAGAGTTGGCGATGTTCAGCCTTATGTTCTGCGGGTTTGGGGTCACGCAGAAAAAGGCTCGAACTCGAAGCGCACAACAAGTCAGCCTGCAACAACCAACTTGACAAGCTACACAGCGACTCCAGAAAATGTAAAGTCCCTTGCCAAACGCGTTCGCTTGCGCCATCGTCTAAAAGGCCGTCCTGGCGAAACAGAGCAAGACTGGGCCTCTATTAAGTCGGGAGTTCGCGGATTTCGTACACATGGGTACACTGCTGACTGACAGAACAACATCTAACAACGTCAAGCTCCTAAATCCCAACACTCCGAACATTGCAGGGCTGCTTCATCAAAGGATCCAGTGCAACAGGAGTTAAAGTTGTGGGCTTTGAGAACGGACTCGGTTGTTTGTCCTACTGAAATAAGTGCAGTAGCTACCGTCTTGTGGCAAAAGCCAAGTTGACTTAGATCGGTGGATCGTAGCGGCGTCAATCGGATCGCAAAAGAAGGCGGCTTTTGAGCTTCCAGTCAGCAGCAGTGGAGGCGATACCGAAAGATTGCCGAATAACGCAGGCAACACAACACAGGCCTGAAGAAGCCTCAGACAGACCCTCGAGTGCAGTTGTCAACACATCACATCCACTTGAAGTCTTTCTGTTCTTGCTTGAGCTTGAGGGCTTGATGGCCTGAAGGTTAAGATGTGGCTGGTGTCAGTGTTTGGGTACTGCATTCTGCCTTAGATTGGCGGAGCGTATTGAAATGCTGTACGCACGATACAGCACCAACGAGTCCCGACGACCCGGCACAGATTATTGAGTATGCTGATTTCACCCCAAACCTGACAGATCGTTATAAGCAGCAGCTCCAGCAAAACCACGCATTGAGCTAATAGCTTTCGACCCTGACTGCAGAACTCCCCCATTCCGGAGAAAGATGGGCTGAATGAAACCTTGCCACCCGAAATCGCCCCCCTTGCAAGACAGCGAGCAGTCCTCGGAGGCGAACCCACCCCCCAGACAGTCTACCGGTGTGCAATGGACAGTGGCAGCAGTTCAGGACTTCGTTTGCCCGAGGGGGGAACTTCAAGTTGGGAACGCCAACATCCCTACCTAACGACATGATGCAACATGAACACATTAACCGATCAGACGCGCTGGCTGTGAGGCCTGCATTTGCTGTGCATCCAACCGTTGGAACGAGTTCGTTCAGGTAAGCTCCGCAGCTTGCTATGCGCTTGCAAGACTTTGAAGATGCATTAGGCTTTTGCAAGCGGTTGTGAGTGGTGATGCGTTGACCCGTTTCCTATCTTCACAAAAGTGCCGACTCAGCACTTTCACAGGTATCAGGGCCTTTGGGTCTATATACTCTCACTCTCTCTCTCTCTCTCTCTCCACACGCTAGGCCCCCCAGAGGGGAGCCGCCCCGAAGCTCTCACTCTTTCTCTCTCTCTCTCTCTCTCTCTCTGCACGCTTGGCCCCCCCCCGAAGGAGGAGGCCGCCCCCAGGGGCGCGCGAAGTTCACGGTTTGTCGGGTGCTCTCTCTCTCTCTATTTCGCTCTTTCTTTCTTTCGTGGGGGCATGAGGGCCCGAGGACCCCCGTGCGATTCGCGCGACCCAGCTGTGTGGAGCGATGGTACAGCTGGCAGAGCCATTGGTAGCTGTGTGAAAACAGAACTGAGGCGGCGGCCTCTTTCTCTCTCCCTCTCCCTCTCGCTCCCTCTGATTATATGTGCACACCAACATTCAAAGACCACTCAAAAGACAAAAGCAAAGCGCACTGGATGAAGGCACGAGCGTGATACGGCACATTGGACGATGCACAAACTTTGGTTTTGACGAGGCAAGCGATCATTTTCGAAACGCATGCACGCAACGGCACCCAGGCAAGAGCGGCTTCGATTCACGGCTCGACGCAGCTAGACGAGGAGTCTTCGAACCGTTGCGAGTGCCATGTGGAGACTGCGATCTAATCCCACTGCAATGCTTTGGGAAACTTCCGACCGTCGCCAAACCTTCTGCACGACAACAGGCTATAAACTTGCAACCCCCATGAATGCATCCCGACTGCAAAGGAGCTCCGTTTTTCTATCGCTTGCAATGTCTGTTAGGCAGCAAGGCTAATTGCCTTATGACCTGGAGGCTTTCGGGTCTTAGAGTCTTCGGGTTTTTTAGCTTAGGGGCTCTAGCCCATCCGAAGATGCTGCCCGACATAGTCCGGTATGTGGAAAATGCGCAATACACAGCAAACCGCACGCCTTGCTTAGCAGGCAGCAGCGAGTTCCTTTCAGGACGAAGTGCGGCAAAGGCGGAGCACTACGACGCAAAAAGGCAAATCCTTGGTCGGACATGTGTTTGTTTGAGTTTGCAAACAAAGCAAGAAAAGGTAACCGGCACTGAACATCTCGCACCGGATGTCCCCAAGCCAACCGCCAACCCTGAATGCTGAATGCACCGAACCCAGCCAGCCTCCAAGCTAAGGCTTCAAGCACAAACTCGCGTGAGGGGTTCTGGTTGGGCGCTTGACAGCTTGTAGGCTTCTTTTAAAGTCGGCCCTAAGCCCACCAATAGCACCAAAGATCGACCAGCCCAAACAACCTGA